AGAAGACGGAGAGTTCTAATCCACCCCTCCCACTACTTTTCTCCCACCACTTGGTCCCCGCTTCCTTTTTACCCAGCCAATTAAAAGACGGAGAGTTCTAATCCGCCCTCCCTCCACTTTTATACTATAACATTAAAATACCTACCATTTTCACTTCCTACCACTCTTTAGATAATAACTGAAGTATAATGTATGTCATTAACAAAGAATTATTAACTGTTATCCAAGAAAATTATGAATACAATGTGCAAAATTATAAAAGATTTAAAGAAGATTTATTTCTTATGGGACTGGCTGGAATACCGATGCATAACGCAAAACAAATTTTGTATGCCTTCAAAGAGTATGCACAACATTTCGGAATGGACTTGATGAAAATAAAATATCCAGAAAATTTGCTGGTTATATCACCTCATGATTTTCATAGTAAAGATGCAGAATGTGAGTGTTGTGAAGTTTTACAGTTTCTCTTCAATGATAAAATCGAACTCGTTAAAATGGAAAAGGAGGATGTCAAGAGTCTAAAAGAGCTCTTGGAAGAAAATAAGCATAGACTTTTATATGTGTGACTTGTTTTATTCTGTATCATGTTAGATATGTAATAAATGAAAACACATGTTATATATTTACAACATTTATTTAAGTCATAATAAATTTATAAAATTTATTTAAATTTACAGTTTTATTATATTCCTGCATCATTTTAGTGGATGTTACATATTTACACATTTATTTACTTAAATCTACATCGAAACCAGGATCTTTAGCTATTTCATTGGCATATAATTTGCAGAGTATATCGGGTTCCATATAATCTTCAAGGCGGTATAGAAAACTATCCAAGTCCAACTTTATCAAGTTATCTACAAGACAACTTTTACAAGCTTCTCCATCCAAATATTTTTTACAAAAACTAGCACCTTTTCCGTATTTCTCTGCTAACTTGTTGCATTCTTCTTCAGAATGAAATCTTCCCATGCCATATTTATTTATTTATTTATTTATTTATTTTCCCAACAGGCATGAATGCCTAATTACAGGGAAAAAATTACTACACTCAATTGTACAATATGTGACTACTTAAAGTAAGCACACTAACAAAGGGTAATATCCAAAATGCATAGCAGCATTATATCAGAAGGGCAACAACATCCACATAACGATTTTTCAACAATAAGACATAAAAATAATGAGTATGGTAAATTGTTTATAGAAAAAATTTGTTTAATTTCTTTTAAGAATACTCTTTGGGGTGAAAACAGGTCAATGGAGTTGCATGATGAAACTTGATTAATTAATTTAAACATAACTGCAAGAGGAGAACATGATATCTTGCGTAACGGGATATGCAGAAATTGATTTTGACGAGTGTCTCTGGAAGGAACATCGATAAGTTTACGGGAGAGCAGATTTGGTCCATTAATGAGACAGTTTAAAATTTTGTAACCAAATAGCAGAATAGAAATAATACGACGGTGATTTATATTAAATTCTCGGCAAAGTTGATTAGTTCTTACAGTCATATAGTCAAGCGATCTATTATACTTCTTAAAATATAAATATCTCAAAAATTTATTTTGTATTTTTTCAACCCGTTCTGTATATTTTTTTGGCTGCGCGTGCCATAACAATGACCCATATTCAAGTTTTGGCCTAACAAGTTGCAATATAAAGTAATAAGAGTTCGTATATTCTTCAGATTACGCGATTCCCTCATAACAAAATCAATAGCTTTATAAGCATCGGATATAAATTTGTGAAAATGAAGTTTATATGACATTGTAGGTACTATCTATCGTAACGCCCAGATCTTTAACATTGTGAACCTTAACTAAATGAGTATTATCCATCTTATATGCGTAAGTAATAACATCCTTTTTGCGAGTAAAGGAAATATTGCAGCACTTTTTAATATTGAAAAAATGAAGCTTATTTTCTTTACTCCAACGCAATACAGAATCAATGTCCAGCTGGAGCAGAGCACAGTCATTTACATCTTTAATTTGTCTATAAAACTTGAAATCGTCGGCGAACAACAAGCATTTAGAATGATGAAGACATTGGGGTAAATCATTAATAAAATACAAGAACAAGAGTGGGACCAAGTTAGAACCCTGCGGAACCCCTGAATTTGCTACATAAACTCTTGAAAACATTCCGTGATATTTGACTTTAAATGTGCGGTTTTGCAAATAAGAAACAATTAATTAAATTATGCTGTCATTCACCCCGTACATATCCAATTTTTTTAAAAGCACATCATTGCTAAATGAATAAATTATGTTAAAACATTACAAACAAACATTATTGCTTATTTATATAATGACTACAGTTAGTGACATTTAGAGCTCAATGTTCGATATTCAATACTTCATTCATAAAGAACTACACATAAGTTTGTTACTCGATATAGAACGTTATACTTTGCATTCAGAAGCATATTCCATACGTGCTTGTTCAAATTTAACTTTTCATAAATTGAATATCAAGTTAAATCATTTATTTCGTTGTGCTGAAGCAACAGCAAAGTAGTTTGTTAGTGTAGACCTGCATTTATTGAGCGTCAATTAATAATTTGGTAAAATTGTTCTGCGATTGATCAACAATAGATATTGGAATAATCTTATGATGTCTCTAGCATTAGTTTCACCCCAAAATACAAAATATTGTTTAGTTTTAACCTTCTGGAAAATGAAGTACAGAGTTACTGAAACGTATAACAACTTCTTCCGCTATTGCAACGGTGATTAACTTAACGTCATTTTGCATATCTGCATCATATCATTATTATAACATAAAATTCAAGTTATTTTCACTGGCACAAAAGTTGCAGGGTGAAATGAGTTAGAAACCTCCCATATCTAAGCCACTGAATACTATCTTTAATCCTAAACTTTTGTCAAAGAGTATTTAATAACCTCGTCAAACCACCAAAAAATGAATAAAAAACGTTAAATCATTAGCTGAGCTACTGTCTAAACAATTTTCTTTGAATCAAAACTTTTTAAACCGTTAATAATTGAACATAAGGCAGACTTGCGTCATATTTCTTGGTCTATTTTTGTCTAATATATGTACACTTGCTGCAAATCACCCTGTATTACTTTTGTTCTTAGTATTAAAATAATTATAGACCTTGACGCGACTTTTATGGATTCTTGTATAGTGTAGAACTTGACATAAAGCGTTTTTCAGAACTGTCCCAATTTAGGTATTTTATTTATTAATGACGAGGCATAGTGCACTTGATTGAACTAGGGTCCAAGTGGGGTTTGTATTAATTGGGCGACGCGTAGCGACGGTGAGCGTCCAATGTCAGCGGATAAAATATGTAAGTTTTGCTTCAGTATCGCGCAGGCACGTGCAAAGGTGCTATATGTGTGAAAGGGTATGATTATACGACGTCGTTTTTGCTGACGACGCTGTGCTTTCAAAGTTCCAAATATTTTCCGATGGTAAGGAATTTAAATTTTGCAAACTAAATTAGCTTAAACTTCCTAAATTATTAATTGCACAAAATAAAAAAAAATGTTTTTATGCAACATCGAAATAAAAAGAAAATTAGGGGGATAATTAAAAAAATAGCTGCCTCTAGCTCTAATAAATAATAATATTTTTAGAAATATAGATTATTTAATCANTCTATACTAATATTATAAAGAGGAAAGATTTGTATTTTTGTATGTATGTATGTTTGTTACGAATAAACTCAAAAACTACTGGACGGATTTCGATAATTTTTTCACCATTAGAATGCTACAATATCCCTGAGTAACATAGGCTATATTTTTATATCCCAAAATGTTTAAAATAAATGTCCACCCGTGCGAAGCCGGGACGGGCCGCTAGTCATAAATACTACTGGTATAGAGGACATGAGAAAACGATTTCTTTTATGATCTATGGGTCTATTGTATTTGGCTTTTGAGATATGGATCCTTAAATTTAATTTGTTTTTAATTAATTTTGCCAGTATCTTCAGATGGAAGCAACATATCGTGTTGAAATTAGTTTAGGCACTTGTTTTGAAACGATTTAAATAACCTGATATGATAAGCTTTTTTAGTAATTCTACATAAAAATGTATTTTCGTGAAAATTCACTAAACCACTTCGTTTTAGAGAAAAAAAACACAAATACTGGACGTGGATTAGCCATTTAATTTTTTATTCAGATAAATACTTGTTTAACTTTTACGGCGTATCAAATAACATATATAATATAAAATAATTAAAAACTGTAGGTAATTTACATGAAAAAAGTTTACATAGATGAAGAAATACTATGGAAGATAAGAGAACGAAGATTCCTAGTGCTTTAAAGAAATTCAAAGTTATTCACAGCCAATAGAAGGGATGTTTTGTTAAAAAAAAAAAAACGCAAAAATAGTAATAAATTTGAAATCCACTGTAGCTGTTTTTTTTCATTGTTTATCCGACAAATCGATAATTTATTTCCACAAGAGTATATTTTTGTACCAGATTTAAAAAATCATATAAAAATTGTATTAAACATACGCTTATCACATTTCAATATGATATGTGACTTACTTCTGTCGATATTAACAAAATTCATAAAAAAATTAAATTAACAACATCTTGAAAACAAAAGAAAGGAAATCTTATGTTTTCATGGTCTATTGCTCCTAGAAATTATGGGACAATATTCTGAAACACTTGGTATTGGAAATAGGTACATAATTTGTTGATAAATATAATACTTAATTCAAACGCAGGCGTAATATTGGAAGATACCCATGTACATAATAATAATAATCTGATTAAAAGCAATGGGGTATTTGCATAATAAAAATATATAGCGGATTATCACTGAATATTTGTCTGCAATTTAAGTTAATGCAAACCATGAAAGCAATTTCCCTAAAAACTCCTTATATAAATTTGTATTTGGTTTAAAAATTTTTAACTCAAATCGAACGCCATTGTTATCGATTTATGACCTGTACAAACGTTGTTATTGCAAAAAACTTATTTAAGTACCACCTCCCTATCTCTCTATTAATAACTAAAAGGGGGACAGGGGTATGAAATTTTAGTTAAACTTCTTATTAATAGATGGTGCAATGAGAGCAATGTTTAGCGTGTCACAGCTGTCTGTCAAATTCCATTTAGTTTTATATACAGGGTGATCCATTAACGGTAAAAAAATCTATTAACAAATACGGCCAGAAGAAATTGATTTAAAATATTTTCAAGTTTGTAACTTCACCGCAACGATATAGATTTTCTTTCATGGCTTGATAGACCATTTATTAAGGAAAACAAATACACAAACCGGAGGTCGATATCTTTTTTCGTTTTCAATAGTTTTACAATTTAATTTTGGCTTGGACTATGTCAATGTTATTTAGATAACTAAATAAGGGAGGATGTTCTAACCATCTTAACTATTTTAGCAATAACTTGAAAACGAAAGAAGATATCGACCTTCGGTTTGAGTATTTGTTTTCCTTAATAAATGGTCTATAAAGTCATGAAAGAAAACCTATATCGTTGCATTTAATTTTTTTTAGTAAACGGAGACAATTACAAAACTTTTCTGATTATCGTCATCTACCGTTGCGCAGGAAAATAATATTTTTATTCCCAAATCATAAATATAAATTTTATTAATAATTCTATAAAATGAGCCGTCGTGTTTTGAAATCGATTAAGGCATTTAGAAGTTATGACAATTTGAAAATCTCAAGATGGCGTCCTTTATACTAGCGTTGCTATGGTAATAACAAAAAAAAAAGTTCAAACAAAACTTAAGAAGCGTTTAACAGTGTATCTAAAAGTGTATTTTCAAATTAGGTTATACAATAAGCGAAATTTCGAAAAAACGACAATTTTCTAGAACACGAAGGCAGTTGCGCCCTCTAGCGGTGAAGTTACAAACTTGAAAATATTTTAAATCAATTTATTTTGGTCGTATTTGTTAATAGATTTTTTACCCCATCATCGTAGCCCGTCTAGTTTCCTATATACAGCCGCTCCGTACCATTAATGGATCACCCTGTACATCTAGCATATTTTTTTAAATTTCTAATTAAATGATTTTATACAAAAATAAAACAGTACAAGTTTTTTGCCATATTATTACATTTTCTGAAAATATGGCAAACCCCTCATTTTATTTAAAATACATAGCTTTTAATAAGACTGTCATTTTTATACAAATAGGTATTCATAGAAGTTATTTTTAAAGATATTGAAATTGTTTTTAAAAAATATTTTCAATGGAAATTATAAATACCTACTCTTTGACACTAAATATTTGGGAATACTTACGAAACAATTGCAAACTAATAATAATTAATAATCTAAAATTAAAAATATTTATTTAAGCAATATTAATGAAAAAACACAAACCTAATGTATGGTAAAAATTAAATATTCTTAAAAATCTTCGAAGGAATTAATATCTACACTTTTTTCTTACATTTTAACTACCATTATGGACAAAAACTAGTATAATAAAATAGATAATTCACAATGTCGATTCAACTTTTTATTTTCTCTTAAAGGTTGTGTGTTTTATATGTCGTTTTATATGTCATTTTATATCTTTTAATATTTAGATGTATATTGTTTGCGTATTTAAAAGGAGACTTCTTGAAAAGACAATTCTAAAAATACAAGAATATATTAATATATCGTGATCGAAGACTCTTGGCTGAATTTTGAAATTGGTCTTTGCCTAAAGCGATATTGTCACTATTAGAAACAAGAATAAAATTTCGAAAGTCGACTGTATTTTATATAATGGTTTCAATATATCAGTTATGTGGTTTTTCATTAATACTTTTTATTCTAGACATTCCATGAAATTATTTTTTTAATCTGAATAAATGATGTAAACAGAAAATAACTTTATTTGATGAAAATTTTGGAAAATTAATTTAGTTCAAATTAGTTTAAAACGCTTAAACGGTATAATAATAAAAAATATAGCGCCGCTATTCATCTTAGAAAAAATGGAAGTTTCTCCAAAAAACCCTAACGAATGCAGCTGAAGCTGCCAAAATGGTAACCAAGCCCGATAATCTCCACAAAACTCCTCCAGGATCTCGTGGCGTAAGCCCTTCGAGAACAAACGGCAGGAGCCATCGGGACAGTCCAAATGTTTCTCCGACTAAGGTGAGAAAACAGCCGATGAAAACCCCACCCAGCAGAAACCGTCAGAGCCCCGACCGTCGCAGGAAACCTACCCCGGAGAGAGCGATGGTCAAGTCCAGGGGTAACAGTCCACTTAAGGTCAGGGAGGACACCCTGAAGTCGCGTGGAAGCGAGTAAGTATTTAAAACAATTGGAAACGCATTCCACGAAAGTTAAAGATCAGTAAAATTTTCGCATACACAACATTTACCTAACTTTCACGTTCAACTTAAAAAATCGATATTTAATATCAAGAACAGAGTTGATAATAAAATTTGGATTCTCTTTCTTTCTCTAATATAATTTTGTGAGCTGTTTTAAGTGTAATCTAATCTTGCGTATACAGGATGTTTCAGGATAAGTCGACAAACTTTAAGGAGATATTCCTCATAAAAAAAAATAAGAAAAAAATGAAGTATAATTTTTTTCCAGAGACGCTTCATTTTCGAAAAGATTAAAGATTTTAAAAAAAAATCGAAATTTTTCAATACCTAACTTCTAAATGAAGAAGGCTATTTAAGTCAAATTTGGCATGACACATCTTCTTATAAGATACCATTTTTCCATATAGAAGTAGAAGTCCCGCAAGCAACCAGTGGCGGAGTTATGGGGAATCATTAAATTATAAAAAAAATTAATACGGCCCTACTGAAAATAAAAAATGATGCTGATTTTAGATAGAACAGTGTGTTATTGACAAAAAGTGTGCATTCACTTTTTTCCTAACTCTTATAGTTTCATGGCAAAATTGATTTTTCGGAAGGGTGCTTCTGGATTCTGTCGATAAACTTTAGGAAGACGTTCCTCATAAAACCTAAAAAAATATAGTACCTATTAAAATTGGTCTTAGTCTCAAGTATGTGTGAGTCAAATAAGCCTTTTTGTCTCCCCTTCCCTTGGGTTTAACCAATAGTATTAAAATTATTCAGGAGATGATTCGTTTTTGAGATATAGGGTTGTTTTTTTAGAAAAAAAAATGATGAAAACAATAGAAATATTTAAGTACCTAACATCTAATGTGACTATGTCGTAATGCGACAACGTAACGACCCTTGCAATACTCCTAAATTTTTTCAGGCGGTTTGTAGTCACTTCATTTACTTGTGTTGTGTACTTTTAAATAAAATAAGATGGCAAACAATACATGAAAATTTATTTGTAAATTGAAACAACCAAAAAATTACCAATTAATATTATACCTAGACAAAGCGAAAAGTGAATCAAAAATGAAATGATTTAAAAAATATTTTGTTCAAAATGGGCGCCTCCGGACTGTAGACAAGCACGACATCTTCTAATTATGGAGGTAGTGGCCGATCGACACTGAATTGGAGTTAATTCTCGACACGCTTGGACTATTCGCTGTCTTAGATCTTCTAGGGTATCAACTGGCACCTCGTAGACTTTTTGTTTAACAGCACCCCAAACGAAATAATCCATCGGTGTCAAGTCCGGTGAACGTGCGGGCCACGCTGCAGGTCCTCCACGACCAATCCATCTCCTGGGATAATTAATGTTTAACCACTCCCTAGGACCTCTACCAAAATGGGCAGGACAACCATCTAGTTGAAACCAACTGTTCATTCGAGTATTAAGCGGAACATCTTCTAATAGATCTTGAAAACCATTTTCAAGGAACTCGGTAAACATGTCAGCATTTAACCGATGCGGAAGGAAGTAGGGACCAACTATAGTCTTGTCCAACAGATCCAACCATACGTTACATTGGAATTCATGCTGAAAACTATGTTCCCTTACCGCCCGTGGATTCTCGTAGGACCAAATATGGTTGTTCTTTTGGTTTAAAATTCCCCTTCGAGTAAATGTTGCCTCATCTGTCCACATTACTTTTTGCGTAAACTGATAATCATTTTCTGCTTGGTTTAACGTCTAGTCACAAAACACGCGCTTGCATCGTATGTCCTGAGACAATAAATGTTGCACACGCTGGATATGGTAGGTACGCATGGCGTCCATCAGCCCGAAGGGTCCTCCAAATGGAACTTGACGAAATACCTAGCTCATAGCTAGATCTTCTGACACTCGTGGATGGATTTTCATCGAAATGGTTTAAAATAGTATTCGATTTTATTCGAAGTGGGGCAAAATGTCCATCAGCATAAGTTGCAATACCGAAAGACCCATTTTGTCTGAGATGACTGAATGTTGTTGAAATTGTTTCCTTTGCTGGTAGTCTGCGATGAGAAAATCTTTCTGCATATTCACGGCAAGCGCCGTGGCATTTCCATCACAAAAACCATAAACAAAGACCATATCATTCACTGTTCGAAAATATGGACGGCATTATTAAGCTTATTTTTATTATTAGTTTAAACGCTTTATCTAATGGATAATTTATGCAACAATTCGCAAAATAACATTTAAAACGTCAAATTGACATTGCTTGATAGCAGCCTACTCGAAAAATTTTGTTGAGGTTCATTTTAAAGTTTATCGACAGAATCCAGAAGCACCCTTCCGAAAAATTCAATTTTGCCATGAAACTATAAGTGTTAGGAAAAAAGTGAATGTACACTTTTTGTCAACAACAAACTGTTCTATCTAAAAACAGTATCTTTTTTTATTTTCAGTAGGGCCGTATTAATTTTGTTTATAATTTAATGAATCTGGGTCCCCATAACTCCGCCACTGGTTGCTTGAGGGACTTCTACTTCTATATGGAAAAATGGTATCTTATAAGAAGATGTAACATGCCAAATTTGACTTAAATAGCCTTCTTCATTTAGAACTTATTTAAAAAATTCGATTTTTTTTTAATCCTTGACGCCCTATATTTCGAAAATGAAGCGTCTCTGGAAAAAAATTTATACTTGATTTTTTTCTTATTTTTTTTTATGAGGAATATCTCCATAAAGTTTGTCGACTTAATCCTGAAACACCCTGTATACAGGGTGTACAAATAATTATTTTTAAAAGCAAAAAAATGAAAAAATCGTAATAATCATAGCTCGAGATATAAAGTGTTAAAACTTGCAAAATGTGATTCTGAACCATTCTTGGCATAACAACATTAAGTTGAAAACGCACGACTACTAAGAAAAATCTATTTCTTTCTCTTAATAGATAATAATTTATTAATATCTTCAGACTGAATTTCGACACTTTTACTTGGATCCCGCCCATTTTGTGTTCGGAAGTGTTTATGACTTTATTTGCCAATTCAGACCTTTAAGGCCCTCAGGTACTTGCTCGCTGCAGGTTCGACACCCCTTCTGATGAAATTAGACTCTTGTTTATTAAATATATAAACAAGGATTGTACTAAATCACTCTTAGAAAAAAAATCTGGAGGATTATGGTCGGTTGATCTAGGAGACCATGCGGCTTTCTAATCTTAGATAAGTTTTTTCGACTAAAATAAATTTTATTTGGTTTACAAACTTAAATCTTTGTATTTCATAATTTCATAGGACTGCAATTTTTTTTAACAATAAGAGAAATTAAGAAAATGTAGTTATTTTATTGTTTTACATTATATGGTTAATAGGAAAGGATGTTAAACAATATTTGATGACCAATTGTAAGTTTTAAAATGTTTTTAATGTGTATGGTATTTAAAAAAATTTTAGAATTTAATTTTTACATAAGGAAAAATATTATAATCCATGGTTATTATTGTTTTATCTGAAGATGAGAAAAATAATCCCTAAACGATCGTAATAAAATTTTTTTTATAAAAAATTTGATTTACAACAATTTGACCTGTTCTTCCAGTAAATTAATAAATAATTATACATAAATGCGGAGGAACTTATCAAAAGTGAAATTTAATATTATTGAAATTATTTCTATTAAGATAGTTCGCCATAATAGTTATGTTAATTAACTATGTTCATTGGTATAAAAGATAATGAGCATCGTCGTACACCTTGCCTTTAATCGTTTCTTAACAATAATACTATATAAAATACGTAAATAATATTTCGAATAATAATAATTCGAAAGATTATTTTATAAAATCCAATATTCCAGTCGGCACATTCAACAAGCTATATATAGAATTATTTTAGTTAATCGTATTATCGCTCATTGTTATTTAAATTGATTCACAATTTCGAGAAACGTATAAACTTTTCCTAGAAAATTTGGTATTTAATTCTTTTTATAAAAATGTTTGAGATTTACACTGTTTTACTCTTAAATTTTATATAAATTAGTTATCGCTATAAATTTCAGTGTTTTTATTATTTTTATAGTAGAAGTTGACGTTTCTTTACAGTTTCCTATTTTGCGAAGAGAAAGAGTATCTTCATAATAATTTCCGAACTATGTTTACGATTTTATTGCGCAAAAGATTGCTTAGGTAGCGTCGTTTATTTACCAAACAATATCTCTGTACACATATGCAGAGTGCGTTCAGAGTTTATGTTACAACTTCAGGAGATTGTTCTTTAAGTTATTTTAGACCAAAAATTATTCATGAACCTTGAACCAAATGAACAAAGCAGTGGCTCTTCGAGATACCAGTGATAGGAATATCAGGAGGCATTGTCGCTGAGAACCTCAGAATGTCTATCATTTCATTTATAAACGAATGACCTTTCACAAGAATCTGAAAATCTGTTAGAGCGTAGGTATTGAAATTCTATAAATTCTAGCTATATAAAGTCTTAAATATGTTCATATATTTAAAATAGCAGTACAGTTTACTATGAAGAACACACAACTTATTTTTCAATAAAATTTGGAATAAAGAAGCGAAATTGAAAATATATATGCATGATCTTTTATAGATATAGAGAACTTGTTGAGTGCTACTGACTTTACTGATGTAGTATTTACGCATAACATAATTTGTTTATTTTGAACGATTGACGTATCACGACTCCTTCCCTATCTCAGTTTTGAACCTGGTGAGAACTCTCTGTTGATTTGGCTATAACGTGTATACAGGGTGTTGATGAACTTATGTCAAAAATTTAAAGGGCCAAAAAGGAGCAAAAACTAGCATAGAGAAAAAAGCTAATTAAAAATGTGATTAAAACTGTTTGGAACTGCTGAAATACATATATTCTATCGCGGCTAGTACCTACTTACAAAAATTCTGTAACACTTTTTACGAGTTTGCAGGTTTCTTATGAAGTCAAACTGTATTCGAAATTCAGTTTGTAATA